GGAAGGAAGGAAGGAAGGAAGGAAGGAAGGAAGGAAGGAAGGAAGGATTGGAAGGCTGGGAGAGGGGAAAGGAAAGCCACCAGAAGAGGTCTTTGGTGAGGGAGGGTTCTCACATCCCTGAAGCCTGTGCACTCTCTCTCCCTGGTAGGGCATGTGGTCTCTGAAACAGTACCCAGGCATCCTAGGGACCTCAGTTCAGAGCCTCCTCTATGGGTCTGACAAGAGCTCCACCTGAAGGCCCGCCCCAGTAGGTCCAGTTACCAGGATACTGGGGATAAAGCATTTCCTGCCTAGATGTCTTGGCAGCTCCCACTGCCATGGAGACCACTAGGAGTTGAAAGAGCTGCTGGCACCCAGAAAGCAGCAGCAGAAGAAAGTGGTCTTGGACTAGCTGAGCAAGTGGGTGAGCAGGGGCCAGACCCGAGCCAAGAGCCAAGCCCACCTACTCAGCAATTCTCACATGCAGTTCCCAGGTGGGAGCTGAGGAGAGAAGCAGCGGGAGGAGGGGGTTCAAAGACCCACGATCTGCCTGTCTCCTTTCCGCAAGCCATGTTTATCACTGTGATGTTTGGAGGTAAGCAGGGTCCCCTGTCCCGGAAGAGGGGCCATACTCAGAGTTGTTCCTCCCTCTCTCCCAGAGATCCAGGAAGGAGAGGTACAGGCTGGGAGGGGGCATGGGAATTTGAAGAAGCTGCTCCTATGAGAAGGTAAAGCAATGCCAGGACAAGGGGCAGGGCCAGGGTCTGGGAGGACTTCAGTTGTGGTCCCCAGTCCTCTACACAGCAACAGATGGATGGAAGGGTCTCCAATGCAGTTCGAACAGCACTTGCTTAGGGTAATAGGCCTGAAGCACAGAACTAGCCCCATAATCCTAGTGTTACCTCTAGGCATGGGAGTGAAAGTTCTCCTCGGTGGGGGAGGCCCTGACATCCTATCCTACCCACTCCGCTATACTCCTCCCTCAGCTAATTGTCACCTGCTAGTGAACTCCTGGTGCAGCCTGGTGACCTTCATTATGCATCTGAAACAGAAGGCTCAGGTGCCCCCAGAAGGTGAAAAGACCTGGAGGGCCTGGGGGCAGGGGGATCTCAGGGTCCCATGCCCGGGTGCATCTTGCCCAGCTTAATCCCATTTCTGCCCAGTAACCATTGCTCTCCTGGCTGAAGACGGGCACCTGGTGAGGCTGGAAGAGGGGATGGTCCAGGCCCCTTCCATGGCCTGTTCCCTGCTACAGGAGCAAGGGACCTATGTCCTGGTACAGATCATTAGTAAGTAGGGCCCAAGACTCTCCTTTGCAGCTATGCTGGACTATACGGGAAGGACAGCGGGTCACAGACCAGCTAAGATTCTGTTCAGTCTCAACCTTGACCGGGTCCTATACCTAACCATCCCTATCCAGTGCCTAGGCCAGGTTTCTATGGGAACCACCAAGACAGTCTAGAGTCCTTGGTTCTCTCTCTACTCTGCAGGAGGGGAAGATGGGGCTCCCACCCACTATGAGTCTCTACTGGACAACCTAGATGACCAATACCCAGAGTTAGCAGGTGAGTATCAAGATGAATTGGGGGGGAGCACATCTACCCAGCTCCCAGCAACAGGATTTCCTGGGTCTTCCAGAGGAGCTGTGCTGGCTCTCCGGCTTGCCAGGCACAAGCCACAGTCAGAGAAGACGTACAGGCATTCGGCGTGGCCACCGGGAACAAGGTCCCCTTTCAAGGTCTCGGAGGGTGGCCTCTCTCCCATCAAGAAACCGCTAGCGGGAGCCATAGCCAGGTACAGAAAGAGTTATGGAAACCAGGAAGATCCAAAATGGGGAGCCCTTCCTGAGAGACATGTGCACTGAGGGGTACAGCCTTCACACATATACACACCCAGGACAGTACACCTCATAGAGATAAGGAAGTCCCACTATACTGCTGGAGTATAAGTATCCTAAAGGCAGAATTGCTCTGTGTTTAGGAAGCAGGTCCACATTTCTCCAGCCTGGCACACACCTTTGGTGCTCAACTCATTGCTGCTGACTGAACCCAGTCTGTGCTGGGGTCTGAAGGACCTACTTCCGTCCCAGCCAGGTCCTATGACCTGGCGCACCACAGCCAAGTGGCCCAGCTGGACTTGGATCCAAGTGGACAGGTCCTGACCTCTGCATTATCATCAACAGCCAACAGACAGCCGTCCAGCAGGACTCCTCTTTCAGAATCTGGCGTTACTAAGAAGTTGCATCAGCAAGAAAGGAAAGGTCACAGACAGGATGTGTGGAGCACCCCCCACCTCCCCGCCCCACATTTGAACGCAGAGAAAAAGGATCCAAGGACAAAAACAAGAAGACTGAGGGGGCAGATGTTCCTGTGGGGCAGTGACAGCAGGCTTCTCTTGAGGTTTCGGGTCCCGGGGGAGTAAGGCCCTTGGGTCAGCTGCAAATGCCTCGCCCCTCTACCCCACTTAGAGAGCCCCAAAGTAATCTGTCCTTGGCTATCCACAGTGCAGATTGTAACAGGGCTTCCCCCCCCCCCGGCGAGGTTCAAGGACAGCCCAGGGTTACACAGCAAGAGAGAGCTACTCATTCTCTCTCTCCCTACACACACACACACACACACGCACACGCACACGCACACGATGAGGCACTGCACACTCATAAGACACTCAGTTACCTATCTCTGCTGATCCCGTCTCCCACCAGACAGGGCAGTCAGTGGGCACACAGCAGGCTGTGGTCTAAAGTAAACTCTTTAATTGAGCATTTATGTCTTTTGTTAATCTGTAGGGTGAGAATTACCCTCCTTACTCCCAGTCCCAGGTACAATCTCATCTTGGTCAGGCTGTCGGTGAGGGGTTAGGGTAAGTAAGAACAGGTTCATGGCCTCCTCAGGGCAGGGAGCTCAGACCTGTGGAAGGAACCACAGCACAAACTGGTGATCAGCGGGGTCCCAGAGGGTCTGCCCTTCCCAACCCCACCCGTGCCGCCCCAGCTGCTCACCGTGATTGTATTTGCACTGCTTCAGGGCCTCGCTGAAGCCCTCGCACAAGGTTAGGTCACTCTGAGTGGTGGAGCAATCCAGGAACTGCTTGATCTCATAGGAGCAAGGCCCCATCTGTAGGGGGTAAGAGGCAGGACGGGCAGGGGCCTAGGGCAGAGTATAAGAGGCAATACTGTCAGCTCAACGTTGGTACCCAGAATGAAGTTCCAAAGTTAGAGGCTTCCTGCCTCTCCCCACATCCATAGCCCTGGTTCCCCAAGGATGGTTCAAGGCAGGCCAAGTGACCTGAGACTAGATTGCCCCAGTCCAGCCTCAGCTGCATCCCTGGCAGAGGATGAACCAGGGGTCCTCTATAGGTCACTGGACAGAATCAGACAGGCTTTTCTTTCTGCCTCAAAGTGGACATGCTGGGCAAATGTAGGAGGGGGAAGAGAAGGTTCTAGAAGAAGCTGTACACTACATGAGTACACAGACTGTATGTCCTACTCCAAGACACAGCACCTTCCTGGCCCAGTCACACTGAATCCCATGACTCAGGACACACTGCTAACTAGCATCCAGGTTTGGCTCAAGACCGGTGGGGAGTGGCAGAACCCTAGTGGGGCACAGGTCACCAGGGAACAGATGCCATGATGGCAGGCTTGGCTTTGGTGAGGACAGTGGCTTGGGAAACACCGCCTGTCTCCCTGCTCCACTAAGGTTGGGTGTCCTTGGACAAGTCTTTGGGCTCCTCCGAGCTTGCGATTTCTCCATCTTTCAAGGTCTAGTGGGTGTCAGTCTCTGGCAGTCAGACATTTTGCCCTCAAACGTGGGCTGGGGAGCGCTTTCCAGCTAGGGACAGTACACTTAACAACCATGAGTGTTAGGACCCTCTTTCGGTTAGAATTCTGGGCCCGAGGCAACGCTGAACACACTGGGTCACCCCCTCGCTGGGCATTTAAGCGGTTCCCTTTGTATCCTTGAGCGAATACTGTCTTCGTTTCTCCTGCGTTCTCTCGCTCACCTGCTGGACGGCAGGCTGAGCAGGCTCTGAGCTTCCCCCACTGAAGGCGCTGGTCAGGGCATTTCCCATGACATGCCCTACAGCCGATCCCACAGCTACGCCAGCAGCGGTGGATGCCATCTGAGCCATAAGGCCCGGCTGGCCCGAAGCGGCAGGTGCCGGGGCGGGCGCTGAGGGTGGTGGGTGCGCAGGAGGGTGGGCTGGGCGGCTGCAGGAAGCAAGCGGAGGCAAGGTTAATGCTCTGGGAACAAGCCCCTCTGCTCCCTCGTCTTAGACTCGTGTTTCTGTGCCCTCGGTCCTCCCCCGTGCCAACATGGCGCAGCAGCCTCCAAGGTCATTCTGCGGACGCCCTTGGAAGAGTCCCCACGCTTTCCTCACCCATCCCCACAGGGTGCCCGTCCCCCTCACACCTGGCCGGCCTGGCAGCCGCGCTGCGACTTCCCCGAGGCATGACACTGATGGACCAAGGAGGAGCAGAGAAACAAGCGTTGACCGAAGCAACCGCTCAGTGCGGGGGAACTAACGCTGCAGCGACAGGCGAGTCAGGTGAAAACGGGAGGGCTCTGGGGCGGGGCCTCGGGGACACGCCCATAAACGGGAGGGGCAAATCTCCCCCTTCCAGAAACCTCATGGATTAGGGACCCTGAGCCATAAACCCCAAGGCTTAAGCAGGTGCTGCGAGCAACGGGCCTTTCTGTCAGGGCCATCGCAGAACCCAAGGAGTTTGTCTCGAGCACGGAGGGAAGAAGAGACACATAGACCATCAGCGGAACAAGGAATGGAGGTTCCAGGCCCGGCTTCACTCGCTGACAACAGCCCTCCCAGGATCTCCGGAGGTCTAGAGCCCCTCAGTGGTGTGTTATCAGAATCCGAGCTAGGAGGTGCCTCGATCCTTCTTCGACTCTCACTGCACCCTGGAATCCTTGAGTTATGACTGTCCCAAGTGCGCCCAGGACCCTAAACCCTGAGACTACCACCCCACAGTCCTCTGGGCTCCTGGCATCCTGGGATACGTCTCTAGAAACTGGGAGTGCTTTTGAAATAGTCAAACTGTCCCAGAGGTGACCTGAATTCTTAGAGATGTTTGCCAGACAAACCTAGGCCTTATCAGTTTTAGCACCGTTGACTTTTTTATGTTATTATTACTTTTTTTTTTTTTCTGAGACAAGGTTTCTCTATATAACAGTCCTGGCTGTTCTGGAATTCGCTTTGTAGACCAGACTGGCCTTGAACTCATAGAGATCCTCCTGCCTCTGCCTCCCGAGTGCTAGAATTACAGGCGTGCGCCACTACCATGTCGCCCAAACCATGTTTCTTTTAGCAGCTTCTGTAGTCAGCCCTCCTCCACCAGGACGTCCGTTCTCTTCTGAAAAGGAGTCACCACCAGTCTGCAGGGTGGATTTCCCGGTGAGGCGAGCCAGTAAAGGATGAACCACTCTTTCCTCAAAGAAATGCCCGGCTTTGCTCGGGACCCACAGGCTTCTAGGTCTGTTCTCTGCTTACCTGATACCCAGAGGGCAAATGGTAACATCCTTCCAGGTTCAACTTCTTCTGCAGGTGTCTGTAGCCAGCCCACCTGGATATATACACCCACCTACCCTTCCAGATCCTGCAGTAGGGGTGGTAATGCTTTAACCTCTGGCTGGTATGCTGCAAGTCCCTCAGAACATGGCCATGCATCCCTGGCAACACTGAAGGCTATTTATGTGCAGCACAAATGAATGTTTTAGGGTTTGGGGGTTGTTTTGTTTTGTTTTGTTGAGACAGGGTCCCTGTATGTAGCCTGACTATCCTGGAACTCACTATGTAGACCATGCTGGCCTCAAACTTACAGACAGCCACCTGCCTCTGTCTCCCACGTGTTGGGATTAAAGGTGTGTGTCACTACATCCAGAGAACAGGTTTGCTTGTTTGTTTGTTTTTAAGATTTCTTTATTATGTATACACAAACCAGAAGAGGACACCGGATCTCATTATAGATGGTGTGAGCCACCGTGTGGTTGCTTGGAATTGAACTCAGGATCTCTGAAAAAGCAGTCAGTGCTCTTACCTTCTGAGCCATCTCTCCAGCACCAGTTTGTTTTTAAAGTGCTATGCTTTCATATGTATCAGAAAATGTATGAATACCTCATCCATTTCATGATTTCTTTCTTTCTTTTGTTGTTTTGTTTTTCAAGACAAGCTTTTTCTGTGTAGTCCTGGGTGTCCTGGAACTAGCTCTGTAAACCAGGCTGGCCTCGAATTCACAGAGATCCATCTGTCTCTATCTCCCAAGTGTTGGGATTAAAGGTGTGAGCCACCACAGCCTGACCATTTTATGATTTCTTGACCAATATTGCTACAGTGAGGCTGAGCCAGACCTTGAAAGTCTAGACGTGACGATATGTGCTTGTAATTCCAGTATTCAGATAGGCTAAGACCAGAATCTTAAACTGGAGGCCTGCCTGTGCTTCATGTATGCATAGGAGAATCTGTCATGAAAGAAAGACAGGAAGGAAGGGAGGTAGGGAGGGAGGAGAGAGGGAGTGAGGGAGGGAGGAAGAAAGGGAGGTAGAGAGGGAGGGAGGGAGGGAGGGAAGGAGGGAAGAAAGAAAAAGAGAAAAAGATGGGCCAGACAGGAAAGAAGGAGGGGAAAAAATGAAAGAAATGCCAGCCATTAAAAGGTGAGGCTTTTTAAAAGATTGCAGAAGACCAAGTAAAAAGCAGTGCTCTCTGTCCCCCACCTTGCAGCATCTCAGGGTCCTGCCTGCCTGCCTGCCTGCCTGCCTGAATCTTAGCTTTGAAGGTTTGCCAGTAGAGGCCCCTTGTCACCATGAGGTTTTGTACACTGTGTGAAAATGTATTTGCTGCGATTGGTGTAATAAAAAGTTGAATGGTCAATAGCTAGGCAAGAGATATAGCTGAGATTTCGGGGGAAGAGAAAGGAGGAGGAGGAATCTAGGTGCAGAGGAGATCCAGAAAGGAAACAGGAGATGCAAGATGTAAGAGAGGTAACTCCACATGACAGAACGTAGATTAATATAAATGGGTTCATTTAAGTTATAGGAGAGAGCTAGGAACAAGCCTAAACTGTAGGCTGAACTTTCATAATTAATAATAATTTCATAAAATAATTATTATTAAATTTTAATAATTTTAAAATTTTTAATAATTTTAATAATAATTATTAAAATTTCATAATTAATAATAAGTTGTAAGTTGTGAGCTAGCTGGTGGCCCAAAGGAAAGTCTGCCTGCCCAGTTGGGCACCCCCTGCAGAGATGAGAGTGGATGAACCTTTCCAGCATGTGAACCCCACTCTCACCTTTGATTCTCTCCTTCATATCTCAGATGGCTGACCTGACTGGTCAGGAAAAGCCCATTGGCCAGGGCCTGAGCCAGGAAGCCACCTGAGCCTCCAGTGCCCCACTCAGACGTCTCTTCTACTTCCCTCCTCTCAGGCATCTGACCCATTTGTCTGCTAGTACAGGAGTCTGGCCCTGCCGCCAAGATCCTCAGTAATTGTCTGCTATTGCTGTGCGTGCATCACTGTGTGCCTGGGATCCTTGGTTAGGAATGGGACCCCGGTTCTCTTCAAGAACGCTTGTTGCTCTTAATCACCGATCTTTCTTTCTAGACCCTGTCTCTGTTTTTTTGTTTTGTTTTGTTTTTTCCCCGAGACAGGGTTTCTCTGTATAACAGTCCTAGCTCTTGTAGACCAGACTGGCCTCGAACTCACAGAGATCCGCCTGCCTCTGTCTCCCGAGTGCCACCACCACCCAGGTGGTTGCCTCTGGTTTGTTTTGAGGTGAGGGGCTGGCCAACTTCTGCCACAGGCCTTAGTTTCTCCAGAGGTCGTATTTCAATAGCCGGTTCCCTGCAGGAGCTATTGTGCTACCTTCCTGGTGGATTGGTTAGGACTGTGGGGATGGGGGATTTGACCACCTGTCACTGGCTCAAAAAGTCAGACAGAGGTCAAGCCACCATGGAGACCTGGCAGAGGACGAGACTTCCGAAAGAGGGGTTGGAGAGCAGGAGGAACAATCTCTCCCCAGCTCTCACCAGGTCTAAGGGGTCCAGCCCCTCAGGGCACTCCTCCCAAACCCAGGCCGGGACGGCTGGCCGGTTGAGTTTAGAACAAAAGGCAGGGGAAGGCGGAGCGGTGGGGGGTGCGGTCCCGGCGCCGGCGGGGGCGGGGCGAGCACTATAAGGGGCGGCGGCCCGGCGCGGCCCAGCAGGCCCAGCAGCCCCGGGGCGGATGGCACTGGCTGCCTGTCTCCTCCGCGCGATCTCGCGCGCCCTCCTGCTCCAGCTGCCTCTGCTGCTGCTGTTGCTGCTGCTGCTCCTGCCGCCGCCGCTGATGGCCCGACCCAGGCCACCGGTGAGTGCCCGCCGCTCCTCCCCGAGGGAGGGCTGGGCACGCGGGCTGGGCCCACTGGTTGAGCTTGACCCACAGAGCGTCCTGGCTACCCTAGCACGATCGGTACCCGAAATGCCTTTTGGGTCTCTCTGGCTTTGATAATGAGCTTCCCGTCGCTGGCGGTGTGCAAGTGGAGCCTATGAGACTGGTTAAGTGAGACTGTGCGCTGGACTCAGCTTGGGGACCTGCTTCTCCAGCCCCAGCCGGGGATGCAGGCAGGAGTGTGTGTTGATAGAGGTAGCAAAGGGAGTGGGTACCAGGGCCCCTTGTTCATCACAGGAAGGAAGCCAAGCAAGTCTGGGGGAGGGGTCGGGGATGGCAGCCTCTGGTGAGCACCCCTGCAAGGTATGTACCGTGGATGGAGAATAAAGGAAGAGCTAGGGAAGGAGAAAATGGGGCCCAAGTTGAGAGAGGTGCCCCAACCTGCAGGAGGCAAGTTTGGGAGACTTGGGCCAAGAAAGAATGCACCTGAGAGAGACAGTGTGTATGAGCGTCAGGTGGCAATCAGAATAAGAGGGGGCACTGAATGAAACTGGGTGCTGAAGACGCTCGGAACAAAAAAACACGGAGAAAGGAAAGGGGTGCAGAGAAAGGCAAAAGGAGAAGAGGGATTGAGGAACTCACAGCATGTGTGTCCCAGTGGCTACATTCTTCCTCCAGGATGGTCTTTGAGGCACCTGTCACAGTAGCTGAGCTGGGGCTTGAGCAGGGACCTACAGTACCCACTGGTACTCTGCTGCCAGCCAGCTCAAAGAATGATGGGAGAAAGGTATGAAAGACAGGCAGGTGTCTTGGGACTGCCCCTTGGTCCAGTCACACTGGCCTTGGGAGCAAAAGAATTTGGAAAGGGGGTTGGGTATGGAAGGGGATCGTGGATCAGGAACTCTTTAGGCAGAGTATGAAGTGCCCTACCCTAGAACTTGGAGCAAAGTCGCTAACACCCCTGACCCCTGAACCTCTACCCCCACCACTGCCTTGGATTGGATTCATGCATTTGGGAATTGGAGGGATTTCTGAACCCTGAAATCTTGCGTGAATGCCTTCCTCCTGACCCCTTGATCTATAAAGGGGACAAAGCATTAGGGAGCACCAGTGTCTACTCTTGGGCATTTAGGATAAAACGAGACAAGGCCAGGCACACTGGAGAGACAGTTGTTAGCTGTAGCCACTCTGATGCTTGCACGGGGCCTGGGTCTCAGCTGAGAAACTGTCACTCTAGAGACGCACAAAGAGGGTCACCTCTAGTGTTTTTATCCCTAGATGTCCATCAGCAGGGTCAAAAGAATTCTGTAAATATTTATTCAGCCCAGCCCCCAGCTTTCTGAGTTGTTGAAAGCCCCAAACCTAGTGGCCAGGGAAACTGCCTTCCCTTCTGGAGCCAGTGGGGGAGGGGTGGGGAGGAGGTAATTAGACAGACTCACAAGGATGGAGTCTGTGTACCAGTTGGGTGTGTGACTTGGGCTATTGCCTTGCCTTCTCTGATGCTCCCCTGCCTCAGCACCGCCTAACCAAGTGACTGCCTCACAAGATTGCCTCCTACAGACCAGCATCATCTCCATTAAATGCAAAGCAAACTGAGGTTCAGGAAAGGGACACCACCATTCTGGTCTTCCCCAGTGGCTTCCTAGTCTGGGATCCTTCCACTAGGTTCCTCCCCTGGACTGGATTGGGTGGTACTCCTACGACTGACCTTGGATGTCTCAGCTATGTCAGGAGACCGGGTCAGCCAAGAGTCCCTTGAGTGTGTCTGAGGCTGAGGATTGGCAGCTGCCAGGCCAGAGAAGGGTGAGGCAGAGTGAGTTAGACCCCTCCACAGGGCAGGCCAAAGGAAGGCTGCTAACTGAGAAAGAGGGAGTGCACTAGAAACAGAAGTGCTTCTTAGGAATGTGAGTCTTGGAGAGGAGCCAAGCTGGTGGGGAGCCGGTGAGTTCTGAGGAGAGGCATCAGCCCCAAATCTGAGAGCCCAGCTCTTATCTGGCTTGCTGTGTGATCCTAGGCTAAGTCTTTAACTTCTCTGGACTCTGTTCCATGTTCTGGGATATTGGGTATTTAGGATAAAAGTAGAATAATGACTGCTTCCCCAAAGCTCTCCAGAGCTATAGATGAGGCCAGGGGTTCTCTGAGCTTACCAGTCTCGCTCTTTGGATCCCAGGAGTCCTGGGAGGACTGAGAATTTGGGAAGAAGAGATTCCCCAGTGTGGGAGTACGGGGGTAGAGTCTGGGAAGGACCTCTGCGGGTAAGATGCAGCTGCCGGGTTTACAGGGTGCCTCTCAGCTCCTTCTGGCACTACCGCCATCTGAAAGCTGGAGACACTGAAGCTCAGCAAAGACAGTGTCCGGATCACCAGTGATAGAAGATCACCAGTGATAGAATTCAGAAGCTTCTGGCCACGACCTTGGTGTCTCTCAGGGAGGGAGGTGGTGGAGATGGGAAGGGTTGTGTCCTTTACCTTGTGTCCTTTCATGGCTGCTGTGCCAGCCTCACTGGGTGGCAGAGAAAAGACACCAGGCTGACAGGCTAGACTTTGAGCTGGGAGGGCTCCTGGGGAATGACAACACCCTGCCATTCCTTAAGAGGGTCACTAGACTGTCTATAAGAGCTGCTTAGGGGAATCTGTCTCTCCCCCTTGCCAGCTTAGATAGGCCCTTGTGGCTGGTCATATAGAAGAACCAGGCCCGCATCTTCACTGTGACACTTTGGAGTCCCCAGGTGGAGTTTCAGTGGTTACCTGTGCAAATTACCCAGGAGGCAGCAGATGCTTCGTTACTTTCCCAAAGAAGAGAATTGTCATCTCATCCCTTGGGGGAGAATATGGGGAAAATGTGGAAAAACGCAGCTCTGGTCACGGTTGCCATCTGTGCTCCTGAGATACTGACAGTGTAGGAACTGGCCCCTACCCTCCCTGCATCAAAGGGGCAGGAGATTGCAGACCTGGCAGGGTGTGGGCAAAAGTGCCTCTACTAGAACTGGAACCTCACATGGATGGGGTGTCTCTCAGTAGCAGAGCACAGTCGACCCTGAATTCAATTGCCAGCGCCCCCAAGTATACCATCAAAAGGGCAATCTGACCTCAGTAACCTGGTGCCCAAGGTCTCGCTTAGTGCCCAGCGTGCCTTGCCTTGGGTTCTCCAAGCAGCACTTACTGGGAGTCTTGTCCCATTTGTTAGGTAAGCCAGTCCAGGGCCACACTGCAGGTTGTAGTCCCTCCATGCTGGGGGAGGGTCATAGAGCATCCTCAGGAGCTTCCTGGGCGTGTTTGGAGAATGCAGTTAGGACTTCAAGGTTCATGTTCCCCTAGTCTCAATGTGTTACCATCTAGACCTCCTTAACCTGGTGACAGACAGCCCAAGGCCCCTCCAGCAGGGCAGGAGGAAGAAGAGAGAGCTCGATGCCTTGGACCAAGTATCAGGAAATCAGAGGCTCAACCTAAGGGCAATGGACCCAGCCCTGTGCCAGCATACCTTCTGGCTCCTCCATTTGCCCAGCAATTCAGTGGGCTAAGCATGCTGCGCTAAAGAACCACATCTCAGTCAAACCTTACACCTGGGGAATCCGAGCTGACTTGATTCTTGCGTCGTTTTTTTCCCCCAGGATAGCCACCGTCACCGCCCCGGGAAGAGAGGGCCGCAGCTCCCACAGGCAGCTCTGCCTAATAGCTTGACATCTGCCCCTGCCTCCCATTGGGCCCCTAGTCCTGCTGGTGGCTCCAGACCTCCACGATGTGGTGTGCCTGACCCACCTGATGTGCTGAATGCCCGAAACCGACAGAAGCGCTTCGTGCTGTCAGGAGGGCGCTGGGAGAAGACAGACCTCACCTATAGGTAGGGACCAGAGGGCTGGGGAACAGGACTGCACCTTATCTTACACCTTCATCCCAAGATGCCCAAAGCCACATTCACACAGCGCACAGACCTTCATGCCCACTGACCCTCCTCCCCCAGCTATTCATGAACCGATAACCTGAAACCTTGGTCTAGACACATGCAGAATATGATGCTATTGTTTAGGTAAGCCAGTCCCAGGATCTAGAAGAACCTCAGTGCCTGCCTGGGGAAAGATTTTAGACACTCAGACAGGCTTTAGTATGCTCAGGTCTGGAACCGGTAGTAAATGGGAGAGAGCCACAACCCTGGTAGATTGTTCAAATCTACCAATTACAACTTGGGCCTTTTGAAAGTGGACACAAGTAATGGTGGACTGCTTGTTGGTGACCTCGGAGGTCCCTCGACAGATGGTGAAGAAGCCGAGACTTAGCCTGAGAGACAGTGGTATAGGGTCATATGGCATTGGAACTGGGATAGGGGTGCAGAATTCCCTGGTTGGGGAACCAAGTTCCAGTACAAGGCTCCTCACAGTGAGTTGTACTCCCAAGTGTTGGGACCCCTGGCCGTGTATCTTTCCACTCAGTGTGTAGTATATCAAAACATATACAACCCCAGATAAAGGTGAACCACGTCTAGAAACGGTTCCCGAAGCCTGAGACCCAGGGCCCTCCTGGCTGCAGCTCTGAGTGCACACCTACTGATCATCCAGAGGCAACACTTCTTATGGGGAGGAGGAGAGACAGGCTCTCACGTAATAGCCCAGATAGCCTCAGACTCACAGAAATCCTCCTGCCTCCGCTTCTCCAGTGCTGGGAAGAAAGGCATGGGTTACCACACTCAGCTCTAGGGGAAGCTTGACTCCTCAGTCCTCAGGGGCTTCCTTGCCCCATGCCCAGGCCCCTCCACCTCCCTCCAGGATCCTCCGGTTCCCATGGCAGCTTGTAAGGGAGCAGGTACGGCAGACGGTGGCAGAGGCCCTCCAGGTATGGAGTGAGGTGACACCGCTCACTTTCACCGAGGTGCATGAGGGACGCGCTGACATCATGATTGACTTCACCAGGTGAAACCTGTGGCCTGGGACCTTTCTGGGAACACACCCCATTGTCCGCAGCCTCTAACTGTGTTCTTCCCCACCCTCGCCCTCAGGTACTGGCATGGTGACAACTTGCCATTTGATGGGCCTGGGGGCATCCTGGCCCATGCTTTCTTCCCCAAGACCCACCGAGAAGGAGATGTTCACTTTGACTATGATGAAACTTGGACTATTGGGGACAACCAGGGTATGTGCTGGAGACCCATCTTCCAGATGAGGCAACTAGGGAGCCCTTAAGCTGGGGTCTAGAGATTAATTTGGCAACCAGCAGCTGGAGGTGGAGGTTACTAACTCCCCCCACCCTCTTTTCCAGGCACAGACCTACTACAAGTGGCAGCTCATGAATTTGGCCATGTTCTAGGGCTGCAACACACCACAGCAGCTAAGGCCCTCATGTCCCCTTTCTACACCTTCCGATACCCACTGAGCCTCAGCCCAGATGATCGAAGGGGCATCCAGCACCTCTATGGCCGGCGCCAGCCGGCCCCCACCTCCCACGCCCCAACCATGGGCTCCCAGGCTGGGATAGATACCAATGAAATCGCACTGCTGGAGGTAAGACTGAGGTGGATGGGAAGATGGAGATAAGACTGGCCCTGTTCCCTTCGCACCCCTGCTGGCTTTATGACTCCAGTATGTGCTCTTTTCTGGCTCCTCTATCCCATCGTAGCCGGAAACCCCACCGGATGTCTGTGAGGCTTCCTTTGATGCAGTTTCCACCATCCGAGGCGAGCTCTTCTTCTTCAAAGCAGGCTTTGTGTGGAGGCTGCGCAGTGGGCAGCTGCAGCCTGGGTATCCTGCTCTGGCCTCTCGGCACTGGCAAGGATTGCCCAACCCTGTGGATGCAGCTTTTGAGGATGCCCAGGGTCATATTTGGTTCTTCCAAGGTGAGTGGGACTTGGACACAGTGGGCAGGGAGACAGTGCCCTGCGGAACTAAAGGCTCAGCTCACTCCTTGGGCACAGCTGGGAGTCTCCCAGAAGTGGCAGCTCTTGAGATCTGAGTAGCACCGAAGGTCTTGCACTCTGCAGCTGTGTGCTGATGTATTCAACCCCCAAAGCCACCGTGCGGGGTGGGGGTTTTAGAGATGAGGCCTTAGGCTCAGAGGCAGAGTGACTCCAGTAAGGTGGGAAGCTTAGAAAGGGCTGAGCAGGAAACGGATCTAGGCATAGGGACCCTGGAGCCTGTGATTTCAACTCTCATCTGGCCGAGATGACAACCTAGAACCTTCCGGGTGTCAGGACTTCATAAACACAGGTGAGGCGTGGGAACCCCGTATATGCATTCTAGGGCAGCCAAGGGGCCTGTTACAGGTGGGCTGGGACACAGGGTGGTCAGCAAACATCTACAACAGGCAGCCATCTGTTGACCAGAATAACCTTCACTTGGGCTTAATGAATCCAAGCTTATCTCTCTTCTCAGCCTAGCTCATCCCAGCTGGTTCCCACATCCCTTGTGGGGTACGGTCGCTGGGAAGGCACTATTAGCCAGCAGAAACAGGCTGGGAGAGTCCCCGGTGGTGGCCAAGCAGATTCACAGCGGTTGGGCCTGGCAGTGGTGGCTTGGCAGCTCCTGGCAGCATCTTCTCTCTGGCAGGTGCTCAGTACTGGGTATACGATGGTGAGAAGCCATTCCTAGGCCCTGCACCACTCTCCGAGCTGGGCCTGCAGGGGTCCCTGGTCCATGCTGCCCTGGTCTGGGGACCCGAGAAGAACAAGATCTACTTCTTCCGAGGTGGAGACTATTGGCGTTTCCACCCCAGAACCCAACGTGTAGACAATCCCGTGCCCCGACGTGCCACTGACTGGCGAGGGGTACCTTCTGAGATCGACGCTGCCTTCCAGGATGCTGAGGGTGAGTTGGGGGTGAGGTAGCTGGAGGGAAGCCAGTGTAGTAGGCTTCACACTCCTACACAGCAGTGGCTGTCATCCTGTGTGTTGACACCGTGTATCACACCCCACTCCCACACCCCCCAGACCTCATGAGGCCCAGCTAATCCTCACAGGTCCTTTGTCTAGCGCCATCTCCCCTCCAGGCTGCCAACCAGTATTATGCCCCGAGTTGCAAATGAGGAGATTGAAGGTTAAAGAGGTACAAGGACTTGCCTAGGTCCCTTGGCCACAGTCAGTGCTTATCAAGGACAATGCTTCAGGCATGGCACCATGTCCTTACACGTCTCAAACAACTCTCAGAACAGACTTCGGACATCACAACAGCTTGGTGTTTTTGTTTTTGTATGAGGCAGGGTCTTACTATGTCCCCTGAGCTAAACTGAGACTTGCCTTGTAGACCAGTCTTGACTTGAACTCATAGAAATCTGCCTGCCTCTACCTCCCAATGCTGGGATAGAGAGTGTACGCCACCACATCTGGCCATAACAGCGCTTACTAGCATAGCTTCAGAGGGGCAAACAGAGGAACGGGCAGTGAGGTCACTAACCATACCCGACTTCCATCAGTCACTGCTCCTAACCATTGGGCCACCAGGCTTCCCCTAAGAGCAGAGAAATAGAGTCAAGCTCTTGCTTGCTCCTCCCCTTTGCACTGGGACTCACTGGAACTACTTTGGGTAGTGTCAATCTCCGTACCTCTGGTATTCTCTGCTGTGGGCAGGTGTGGACGTATGGGGAGCTTAGAAACGGGAGCAGTACTTGCTTTCCTGAGCTCAGGTTCTCAGTACCTACTGGACCAGATTCTGGGGGCAGGCAGAAGGGCCCCCTGAAGGGGAAGGAGGTTCCGTTGAGCCAGCTCTGGAGTCTGCAGATTTATTTCCTTATTTTGAAAGCAAAAGAAGAAAATAAATGTAGCCAAGGCTAGCTTCAAACTTGCTATGTAGCCAAGGATGCCCTTGAACTCTTTCTCCCCTGCCTCTACCTTCTGAGCACAGGAAGCACAGACGTGAAAATCACTGTATCCAGCTGTGCAGTTTCCAAAGAATCCAGTAGTGGCCATGGCCTGTTCACTCAGCAGTGTCCATCCTTAGGCCCAGCCTGACAGGTGCCGAGCCCGGTGTCTACTTACCCAGCCTGACTGCCTTCTCTCTTCAGGGTATGCCTACTTCCTGCGTGGCCATCTCTACTGGAAGTTTGACCCTGTGAAGGTGAAGGTTCTGGAGGGCTTTCCTCGCCTTATAGGTCCTGACTTCTTTGACTGTGCAGAGCCTGCCAATACTTTCCGTTGACAACACCTTGGATGCACTCAGGGATAGTGACCCCTGCCAGGCCACCTATGTCGTTAAAGAGACCCACAGCTTCCATCTTTGTGGCGCTGGGCTTCAGGCTTGGGACAGACAGAGCCTATGTCTCCTCAGGGGAGTGGGTTGGGGTATGGGACCATTTGCAGGGATGGCCATGCTGGTCATGGTCACCTGTTAGCAATGATCTCAGACTGGGCAAAGGCTTTGGCATGACTTAAAAATAAGAAAGGTCTTGGGCCAACAATATCCCACTTAGGTAGATTATGGTCAACTGGGCCACCCAAGGCCTCCGTCTCTGCCCCTCGAAGCAGAACTTCCACATGAATGCGGGGACCACAGAATCATTCTATTTTTGTAATGAGGTTCCTGTGGGTAGTGGTGGTAGTGATGAGATGCCCAGGGTACCACTCTTCCCCAGCCAAGCAGCTGGGCCTCAGGGCAGTATCTTTTCTGATAAGTCAGCTCTGGGGAGATGCTGGACTGATTATCTTCTGGTAGGTGAGTCAGAGATGTGTTTCCTGGCCAAAAGGTACACAGCCAGCCAGCCAGTCAGCCAGCCAGGGAGGCAGCTGCTTCCTCCCAGAGACAATGAACCTCAGAGGCCCACATACCTCACAGTCTTCCCTGGGGCCATTTCTTCCTGGGAGGGGGCTCTTCCAAGCACAGGTACCTTCCAAAGCCATGTAAATGTGTATACAGTGTATAAAGCCTTTTTTAAAAAGCTGAGACTGCCATTAAACGTGAGTGTTTTCTAAGCATCTGTTTGGTTTCTCTTTGCAATTGCAGTCAAGATTTGGGAGATGGAGTTAAAGCCTTCACACCCAAGACGGTTTCCTGGGGTTAGGCCCAATGTTCAGGGTTCTCCTACTCCATTCCTGCAGGGGAAGAGGGGCACCTGCAGTGGCTTTTTAACTGACTACCTGTACCCTCCTTTGTCTCTTTTCATTATTGTCCAAAGCAGTGGTCATTTTATCTGACCATGCCTAACTACCCATTCCTTTGGTGGGGGTGGGGAGTATATGGTCTCATAGATCCCTGGCTGGCCTAGAACTCAAGAGATCTGCCTGCCTATGACTCTGGAGTTCTGGAGTGTTAGGATTAAAGGTGTGAGCTACCATGCTCACACCTTCCTTTCAACTTAAAACTGTTTCCCATGGCTGTGAGAACAGTGGACAAAACTCATGGTTGCCACGGCCCTTCCCAGCTCTTTAGCATCCCTTCAAAATGACTTCTGCCACAGCTGAAGTCTCATCAGATCATCACCAGGGTCTCTAACTGGTCACTGTTTGTTTTTCAACTTTCATAGACATATTTATGTTATGCACATTCCCCGGGACGCCCGACCTTCCCTTATCTCTCCTCCCACTCAGGTTAAGTCAGTCCCTTTGCTCACCTACACAGCGTCACTTTTACTTTCATGTTCTGTGCATGCATAGTTTATGTATCTCTATAAAATCTAGAAACCACAAATGAGAGAAAACATTTGTCTTTCTGAGACTTGTTTAATACAATTATCTCCAGTTGCATTCATTTTTTTCTGCAATATAATTTCGTGTTGTGGCTGAAAAATACATTCCATCGTGTACACACCACATTTCACTTTCTTTTTGTTTTTTTTTTTTGGTTATTTTTTTGTTTTGTTTTGTTTTTGTTTTCTAAAACAGAGTTTCTCTACATAGCCCTGACTGTCCTTGAGTTCATGATGTAGACCAGGTTTGCCTCTAACTCACAGAAATTCCCCTGCCTCTGCCTCCCAAGTGCTGGGACTAAAGGCCTGCGCCACCAAGCCTGGCCTACACCAAGCTTTCTTTATCCATTCTTCTACTGCTGAATAGCTGCCTAGGCTGGGCTATAACTTAGCTCTTGTAATAGTGCGACAATAAACATTACTCAAACATTTTTGAGTCACTGTTCTGTTTAACAGATGGTGGATTGCTTGGACATCTTCCCGCGGCATTGTCTTCCCTCAGGGCTCTTAATGCCCAAGGGGTAGAGGCACGAAGCAGGGCTGGGCTTGTGAGCCCCAGGCTTGCAGAGCTAAGGGAAGAATGCAAGCAGCCCTTCCCGTTCACGGGGCACAGAACCTGCATCTTTGAACAGTACCAACCTCCACCAACCTCCACCCAGTACGGTCATTCTTCCCATCCCTATTTGGGGCTACAGCACAGACAGCTGTTCCTAGAGCACTTTCGGGTGGAGAACCTGATGTGCCAGCCTGGGGTCGCCATGCCCACCCAGACTCCCTCAGGCTTTGAGATGGAACGGTCCTTCTCTCTGTGTTACGTCTCATTTCTTTTCTTCACTCTCGGGCGGAGTGCCAGCCCCGGCCGTGAGACTAGGAAAGCCACCGCCTGAGTCAGGGCCTCAGTGGCTATTTATATCGCTGAGAAGTTTTCCTCCGTACCAGACGTGGGAGGTGCGAAAAGAGCTCGGTTTCCTTTAAGGGCCCGCGGGAACGCGCTCGGCCTTGTGTTGCGCGGGCGGCGGCGCGCACGTTAGCGTCAACCCCGTGCGCATGCGCACGGAAGGTGGCCTGCTCGTCGTTGCTGTGGCGGCTAAGGAACCCAGTAGTCGTTCGAGCGCTCGCCCGGCCTATTCTTCACCTCTGGGCCTCCGTCCCCTTCGGTCCAGCGCACCTCGGCCCCGCCCCAGCCCACCGGATTCTTTCCAGCTCGATCCCGGCTGCCGGTTTCCCCCGCCGCCATGATGATGATGGCGTTGAGCAAGACCTTCGGGCAGAAGCCCGTCAAGTTCCAGCTGGAGGACGACGGCGAGTTCTACATGATCGGCTCTGAGGTAGCCCGCGGCGCGTTCTCGGCTTCCCGCAGGGCAGCGGCTTGCCGGCTCGAGCCCGGAGCGGGCCTGTGTTTCCCGTGTGCGCGCCTCCATTCATCGCGGAGGCGGGCGCGTGCTCGCGGCTGGGGCGTGGCCTGGTAGGCGTGGCCGGGCCCTGAGCCTGCTGGACCCTTTTGGGTTTACTTTACAAAGCACCTAACATCGTTCATACCCTAAGCATCTGCCCTAGCTTGGGGTGCCCAGCCGTTACACTCCAGGCAGATGCGAAAAGGATGCTCGGGAAGCCCCTGGGCACTTGAAGGTGGAGGTGCAGTACTGCTCTTGAACGCTTTGGCAACTCTTGTGCACCCCGCTGCCGTGGTCTTAAAATGTCTAGTTGTAAGCATGGGACTTAGGAAGGCCTCCCCACCTTTTCGTTTTCTTGCCTTTGAGGTGGGCCGTGGAAGCGTTATGGTCTTTATTATCTGTAGAAAGTGGTTGGAGAAGGACGTTTGCTTTTGGACCGATGAGGTCCTGAGGCCAGAAACACCACGCTTTGGTTGTCTGTGAGGTGATTTTGAGTTTTTATAGGGGAGAAATTTGAAGGGTCACTAACCTATAACTAGAAGAGACAGCCTCTGTTGAATCAGATGGACAAGTTTTCTTAGGAAAACCCTTCGGACCAGCCATTTTTTTGTTTTTGTTTTTACATGGATGTCTCAAACTAGCCTTCTTCTATCTAAGGGCAATCACCACTTAGTTTATGTGTCCTCCCCCTTCCCTTTTGGAGGCAATGTCTCACTGTGTAACCCTGGCTAGCCTTGAACTCCGAAAAATCCGCCAGGCCTCTGACTTCCAAGTTCTGGGATCAATAGTAGCATGTGTACAACGCCCAACTTAGGTTCTTCTTTTTCAAAAAAAAAGAAAAAAAAAAAAAGATCTGGATGGCCAGGCAGTGGGGTGCACCTTTAATCGGAGCACTCGGGATAGAAGCAGAGGGTGTGTGAGTCCAGCCTGACCTACATAGCGAGACCCTGTCTAAAAAGATATGGGCATATCTGATGTGCTAACGTCAGTAGTGGACGGATAAGGCGAGTGAGGAGGTAAGTGCTCTCCACCCTGGAGAGCTGGATAAAGCCATTTCAGATGCCCACAGTTCTCTCCTGGTGGCCGTTTTCAGTGTCGTATAGGCCAGTTCATTAGTTGCGTGGTTGGGTTTTGGTTGCTTTCTAGGTTTTTGTTTTGTTTTCGACAGCTTAGTGCTGCATGATGAATAAAACCCCAGAGCAGACCGAGGCTTTCAGGACCCCTCAAGGTTTTTTTTTTTTTTTTTTTTTTTTTTTTTTTTTAGTAATTTTATTAAATTATAAAAAGTTTCCATTTACGCCCCTCCTCCCAACGCCCTCCCACTCCCCCCCTCCCTCTCCTCCTCCCTCTTTGTCCCCAAGGGAAGTCAGGGTCTCCTGCCCTGTGGGAAGTCCAAGTTCCTCCCCCCTCCCTCCAGGTCCAGGAAGGTGAGCATCCAAACAGACTGGATCCCAAAAATCCAGTATATGCAGAGGAAACCAGTCCCCATGTCATTGTCAATGGCTTCTCAGTAAGACTGCAGGCCAGCCACATTCAGAAAATCCGGCCACATTCAGAGAATCTGGTTGGATCACATGCTCGTTCAGTCACGGTTCATCTGGCCTTGGTAAACTCTCATTAGATCCGACCCCTTGTATCAGTGGGTGATAGTATCCCTCGCAGTCCTTCGTCATTTTCTTCCTCCTTTTGCTCCTCGTTTGGATCTTGGGGGGCTCAGTTCGGTGCTCCAACGCGGGCCTCCCCCTCAAGGTTCTTGACGTAGCTGTGTCAGGTAATGGGACCAGTGTCGTCAGAAGCATCGACTGAAGAGTTTCCATTCTCCCTAAAGAAAACGTGGGGACTGCGGTGACATGGTCGCACTGTCATTTCAGTGCTGCGGAGCCACAAGGCTCTGCTGGGGACGTGCGAGCCGTGCCTGTCCGTCGTCTACCACAGCCAGAGTCCCGGCTAGCCAGTAACCATTTGCTCAGTTGCAGGGTATGTAAGGCAGTTGAGTTTCAGCATTCGAAACAGAACAGCTTGTCGAAAGGCAGCTTTACCTGACCTAACGTGTGAAAGGGTGAACCTAGCCTTACCTCTAAGTGGGAGGTGCTAGTTTTGAAAAGAAAATTCTGGTGGAGCAATGAGAATACAGCTGGTCAGATGGGGAAAACCCTCGGGAGGCTAAGTGACAACCTGCTCTTTTTCCCTCTCTCCCTCTCCATCCCTCACCTTCTCTCTTTTTTCTCATGCTTGGAATTGAACCTAGAGCTTTGTGCTAAACACTTGCTCTTCCACTGAACTCTCTTCCTGGCTGGTTCCATTTTTCTCATGTATAAATACATGGCTATTTGAGGTCATCATTATAGCATGTTTTCGGTTTTAGAGAGCTAACCACAACCTTTTTTCAGCCTGTTTACTCTTGGCCTTTCCAGTTGAATGAGAATAATTACCCTGAGACCAAAACGGATAGGGTTTTGACTCTTTGGGGCCTGGCTTTGGTTTGGGGACTTGCTTCGGATCGTAGAGTGCTTTCTGTAGTCCCTGTGGCAGTGTTGTCTAGATGATGGCCCTTGGCCCCTTCCTTTTAGAAAATGACTGCAGCGTCCAGACAGATGGGCCAGGATCAGCAGCACCAGCAGCGTCTCTAACGTCTGTGAAGCTGTGGGAGGGCATCTGCAGTGTGTGACTGTCACCGCCACTCTCCCATGTGCCACACAAGTCACAGAACTTTGAAGAAATGAATGCTCACATCCAGAGTCTTTGCTTTGTATTCCAGAGAGGCAAAGACTGACGTGGGAAAAGCCAAGCTGTCTAGCTTTAGTATCCTAAGCTCTGAAGGGACCTTAGGAAGGCTTTGTGCTACAGACCCCCGGCAGGACCCTCACAGTAGCCAGGGGAAAACATTACCAACTTC